GCGTGAGCAGTTATTAGTGAGTGGAGTCGATGTGGATCTGAATGAGTTAGACCCTGCCCACCCCTCATGATCCGCATCTTGTCTCCTCTCTCTGTGGCACACGCAGACAGAACTGGCCGCCGCCGCCGTGGAGAAGGCCATGCCCGTTGGTCTTTTGGGTTTCCAGTTATGCAAAGAATCTCTGGGTTGAACTTTGCGTGGGCATTTCCCAGAGCAGCACTCACGAGAGCGCGCCTCTCCTGGTTGTCAGAAACTGCCCCTACCAGTGTATTTGGGAGTGACCTAAAGTTCTTTTCCTGACGGTGGGGGGAGAGCATTACTGGGTGATGGGAGGACGTGAGCGTTTGATGAGCACCCTGTATTTGACCCTAGGGTGACCCAGAACACTGCCTCAAATTGGGTTCCATATGTGTGATTGCTTAGTAGCTACTTCTGTCTCTTCACCTCCCCCATTTCCTTTTTTTCTCCCTTTCTTTCACTTCTTCCTTTATTGTGGTCAGATATTTATAATAGTGAATTTGCCATTTAGACCATGTTGAGGGTACAATTCAGTGACGTGAGCTGCATTCGCCATTACACTTCGCAAACCCCCTATTCCTTAAGCAAGAGCTCTCCCTAAATACACACACACACACACACACACACACACACACCGGTAATCAGTGATACTTTTGTCTCTAGGCACTTTCCTCTTCTAGTTATTTCCTACAAGTGAAAGCATAACTGTTTATATTTGTCTTTCTGACTTATTTAATTCAATGTCTTTTTAAGGCTCATCCGGGCCATCGCAGGCATCCATTTCTCTTTACAGCTGAATAACCCTGTACTCCACTGTACTGATAGGGTGCATCTGGTCTCTCTGTTGTTTGCTGATGGGCATTTGGGTGGTCGCTATCCTCTTGGGGTGTTTCTAAGGGCGCCACAGTGAACATGGGGGCACACGGCTTTTCCTCTTTTCTTCCTTTCTCTGCTTTCTTTACAACCTTCACCAGCAACACTTCTTAGAATCTCCAAACAAGACGTTAACTCCTTGAACATCTTTGCACGGATGTAGAGGTAGAGGAAGGTTTGGAGAAGCATAAAGAGATAGACATGTACCTAGTTAACTCCTACAGTTTGGGGAAAACTGTACCTCCACACTCCCTGCCGTTGCGTGGATTCAGGTTCACAATGACCCTGTAGAACAGGGTAGCACTGTCTCCATGAGGCTCTGAGGCCGTGACTCTTTATAGGAGTTGAAATCCTTCTCTCTACCCACGGAGTGGGTGGTGGTGCCCAACTGCTGACCTTGTGGTTAG